AACAATTAAGATATAAAAAAGTTGAAAGAGATTTAATATTTTGTATAATATGAGCTTTCCGGTTGATTGGGATTCAACAGCACCTCAAATCCAATTATGATGTTTGAGCCGATAGGCTTATGAACAAGGTTTTAAAGATTTTCAACTGAATTTAGTCCTCAGAACAACAGAAAAAGCTCATAACTGAATTTAAAATTGAATTTTGATATATAACAACCCAAAAACCAACCAATTTCATCAAGTTGAAGCCGAGATATTACTTTCACCACAAAGGGAACGACCGGGTCAATTTTTTTTTTCACGTAAAAATCATTTTCCCGTGACGCGTCTTCACGGGGTATATAAGCCGTGAAACGTTCATGAAGCTTCAGTCGGCTGTGTGAGCTGGTGACCTTACTCCTCTCTCTCTGGCTTATCAGCTGGCAAGTCGGAGATGGGGCCTGGAGAAATCTGGGTCTCATCAGAAACGCTCCGGAAGGTTGCATTCCACACCAGACCGTCCAGAACGGTTGCATTCCATCCCAAACCGTCCAGAACGGTTGCATTCCACCCCAGACCGTCCAGAACGGTTGCATTCCATCCCAGACCGTCCAGAACGGTTGCATTCCATCCCAAACCGTCCAGAACGGTGACTTTCCGGTCAACTTTTCACACTAGAGTCGAGCTATCTTCCCGGCAAGCGATAACGATAATATTGATAAATTAAATTTATATTACAAGAACCATATTAGACACAACTATTACGTTTACTAGCAGGTTGAGATCATCGAAACTCAGCTAAGCTTTTTTTATTATTTCGCTTTAATTTTAGGGGACTCGGTAACGAAATAAAGTGATATTAATAAGGAACAAACTAAAATTACTATTACAACCGGGGTATCGGATATATTGCCAATTGGTATAGTAACTGCATTTTTAATTTTACTTAATGGCTCAATCAGAACCCAATATGGAGCTTGCGATTGAACAGAAAACGAATTATACGATCGCTTCCCAACGCATTTCGCTAAACCTAACGATTCGTAATCGTTAGGACAATCCAGTGCCACTGTGGGTGTAACGAAAACAACCTTTGCTTTTTGAGGAGTTCCTAATGCGGCTGAAAGCAAAACATTTGGCAATCATGAAATTTCGGAACTACGATACCTTCTTTTGCTGGGTGGTACCTTATTCGTACAGGCAACTCTAAATTATCTTCTACTGCGAAAGATCGTCTGATAATATTGGAATGAAGGACAAGGACTTTCTGTCTTTTAGCATGTCCCTGCATAACTTCGACATCGAATGGATCTTTGATGTAAGCCTTGTGATTGATTAGTGTTGAATTAATACTGCAATATATGTTCAATAAATGATTATACAGAATAAAAGAATAGGAAACCTATCGCCATCAATGTAAGCTCCATCAGGTATTTCAAACTCATAAAGAAGTCGGCATTCTAAAAACCTCTGTTCGCTTACAATTCTTGTTTTAACGGCTAAGACCCTATGTTGACCAGCTCCCAAAACCTGAAACCTCAATCGTTAGGAGCATCTCATGAGCCAGCTTACTTTAAAATCCACTTTTTTCTCTTTGATTTTCATTAGCCAATCACATCCATCTACAAGTACGAGTATTGAAAGTATAGGTAGAATGAGCCATGATAGTTTCATTCTGAATAGATAGCTTGCATAACAGTTGAGTTCATGTTGGAAAGTATAGTTTCGATACAAACAAATGATAAATGATGTATAGAATGAAAAAAAAGGGTTTTATCACATTTGAAACGTATCACACAACTCTCACAGAACTTTGGAATGGCACGCGGTGGTATTATGGCAAGACAGATCATTAGAAATCTTCTTCGATTATGCAGAAACATATGCCCAGATTATGTACACTCATCCATAGAAACTATATTTTTTCCCCAAAACAATCATTTGCTAGCTGGAACTTGCTGCTGAAAGTAAGCATTCATTCTCTCAGCAACCTGAAAAACATCTATCAGACTTATAACTTTCAGCTCAAACCTCCAGAACTTCGTTGGTTTCTGGTCTTCGATTAGGATCCGACAAAATGCATCGAGACACCAAGTCTCTCAACTGCAATTACTTCCTTTAAGAGGATTAAGCACATGGCAAGCACTTGCCTGAGTGGAATAAATGTCTGATGGAAGAGGAGGGTATTCACAATTTTCAATCTTTTTACAGAGTGAATAGAGATTCATTTTATCTCCATAAAATGGAGATTGCAAGGCTGCCATCTCGTAGAGAAGGCAACCAGTAGACCAAAGGTCAGATTTAAAATTATACCCTGATTCCAGGATTCGCTCAGGCGACTGAAATTAAAAACATTTGAGAAAATTAAAGAAGGATGAGAGTTATTAGAACGAAATACTCACCATATAGTATGGTGTTCCAACCAGCGAATGAGCTGCTGTAGTTTTACTACTAAAGAATCTTCCCAATCCTAAGTCACCAAGTTTGACGACACCATCTGAGGTGATAAAGACGTTTGCAGGTTTAATATCTGAGAAATAACATTTTTGTTTCAAACTGTTTCAAGATATTCACCTCGATGCATTATGCGTTTGGAATGCATGTGCGCTAAAGCCCGAGCTAGCTGAACAAAGTATTTCCATATGGTCCTCTCGGGGATGAGACGACCATTCTTCTTGAAATGCTTAATCATTCTGCTCATATCGCCAGCTTCAGCTAGTTCCAATACGATATTAAGTTGATTATTATCAATAAACGAAGCATGATATCTGAAACAAACAAATAAACTCAGTCAATGACCACTACAGCCATCATTGGCTTTCGCAAGTTGTTCATAACGTTGCCGCTATGAAATAAATTTTCATTTTTCAAGCAGTGATCAGACGAATCGGTTGTATACGACTCACTTTATAACATTGATATGATTGAGCTGTTTTAGTAAATCAATTTCTTTCAGACAATCTTGGCGGGCTTTCTGATCAACCATTTCGAAGACCTATAACCGCCACATTATATACGAGGTCTGTATAGAATACATACCTGGATTTTCTTCAAAGCTACCATTTGTCCATCCCAGATGCATTTTGCACGAAAAACCTACAATTCAGTAGATTTGTTCAGAGATTGTGTTAGCCTACCTCACTAAACTGTCCTTTCCCAATTTTTTTCTCAATCAAAAACCTATCAAGAGATAGCTCTTCTGAAGGAGGGAAATCTTGGTGTGGAGAAGGTATGTCAGCCATCTTAAAAACGGTGAAATGGGAAGTAAGAGTTGAAATGAAAATTGATGGAATAAAACGATAAGTAACGAGAAATTTTCGGAAACAATTGAAAATCAATAAAAGTAGAGCTAGGGGGTACTAACAAACAAGAAGTGTACAAGCATGGACTGAACTTGGAAACGTTTTCAAAAAATCCGAATTATTCATAAAAGCGAATTATTTTCAATCAATAATGTAGAGTAGGCCAGATATCACCAAGGATACCGCATAAAGGACAACAACAATCAGCGTCGTACAAGAAACTTCCGAAATCAATAATTGCAAGCGCAATTTTCGGAAATATAAGACGGTCTCGATTGAATGGCTGTAACGCAAGACATTGGTAACGAATGCGACAAACAGAACTACAATATTAGATAACTAGGACGAAAGTTTGATTTATACACTTCCAAAAATGAGGAAGAAATTATCGATCTGGAAGCAGCTTCGAGAGTTCCTATGTGAAGGCCATAATTCGTTTTCTTCGTCAGATTATAATGTTGAGTTAGGTAATTGCAGATACATAAACTGTTAGCAATTTTCTTGAAACGTTGATAAGCAGTTGTCCCACCCTCACCTCGATTTTACGACAATCTTGTCTGCTTATTGGAAGAAGTTATGAAGTACTGACTTCATTCTTGAAGTTCGTAACAGCATAGGGAAAGAGTGGAGGAGTCTAAAACTATAAGACTATATATGGGGCAATGACACGTAATATCACGTATAATTCACAAGGACTGAGTACTGATAATAGGAAAGCCTTACGCATCTGGGAACAGAGTTATAACAAGTATGAATATTGCTTTATTAAAAAACTTATGAGCGATGAAGGCAAATTGATATGCTTGAACATTAACAGTAGGCAATTCAAAAATTTGTTCGCACCGTGGGAGATGAGTAAGTCACTAGGGATACCGGTCACATGAAAGATTTTTAGTAAGATATGCATTTTTGTACATCCGAATTATCACAATCAAAAAATTATAAAGTTAGAAAGTTAGTTACGGGATTCGCGTCTCATCTGAGAGGAGCAACAGAGAAACTTCGCGGACTATAGTAGGGACGAACTGATAGTCACGATCCCCTAATAGCTCACCAACTTCATGCTTATCGACTAGCCAAGCAGCAGTTACTAATTTAGTGAACAAAGAATATTCAGGACCCGATAGAGTTGTTTTTTCTTTCTCGGAGTCTTTCGTTTTCTGAAATTCAATAACTCAATAGGAATATGCCAAAAGACGACGAACCTTCATGGCTAACTCAGGAATATCAATCTCGTATAATTCTAACAAAGCTCGGTGTCTACCATTCAATCTTATTTTCTGAAAACAATTAGAATATAAAAAGGACTGCTTGAGAAATAGAATGGGTAGTTTGAGCTCATTAGCATACGCGTCATTAGCTTGTTCTTTGCTTTCATTTTGAAAAAAAAAACGAATGGATGCGGTTGATGATGCTGTGAAGAATGGTAAGATATAACGAAACACAACAGACCCCGTGCAGCCTTGTCAAAGTGAGAACTGTAATCATCTCGCATATTTGCAAATGCTCAGTAGAATCAAGCGGACTAAAGTCTTAACGGATGAAATTGATAAATAAGTTATCCCACTTTGTTCGATCTTTCATAATGAACAGCCATATGTTATCTATGGTTTTCAATAAGTTATGAACTGCTCGTTGTTTGATAGTAATTTCCAGCATATTCCACAATATTCCTAACTGAAGGTTTGAATTACCAGCATAAAAGGCATACGCTGAAACGAGGCAATGCTTAACTCAGGATGAATACTCACCTTTCCTGTAAAACCTCTCAGAGAAGGAATATTCTCCCATTTCTTTGAAACGATCTCCAGCTTGAAGAGCATAACTGCCTTAAAAATATAGTTACTCATATAGTATTGTAGAGTAAATGACCAGCCATAAGTCTGGAGTTAGTAGAAACTGCCGATTTGATCGCAGCATTATAAAATCCGAACGCGTCTTGCTTGAAATGGCTTTCATCTTAATGCTCAGAATCATCATTTGAATTAGGGGTATGAGGTTACAGTTGCTCATTGTCCTTTTTTTCTTCTCCATATGCCTCGCTAAAGCTTCTGCAGCTGCAATCAAATGTTTTTCCTTCATTGCATGCTTATTTAGAGTATTATAGATAGAGCTCATCTCCACGTGAATAGCCGCCGCATTCTCCTCCACTTCATCTTCCCTTCAAAGAAATTCCGAGTTCTTTCGGAGATGGCAAAAATATTACTCGAATATCCTACTCAATTCCATCATCTGGTTTAAAATTTTTTCATAATCCGGTTTTTTAAAGAATCCCTTTTTACTTTCTGACACGAGGGATAAGAACTCTCTCCATTTGTCTTCATAGTTCATCACCTGAAGATTTCGATAAAAGAGAGGACGGGAGTAACATGTAACGATGGGAGTAACACCAAATACAGTTGGGAACAGTTACGAATAAATAAGATTTATTGATACAAATTGGAAAATACCAAATGGTCCTAGTGCCTGAACGTATAGTTATCAGCATATTCCCTATCGAGATCAGTTAGTAGGTTGGTCACATCAAAGCGCATTTCATTATGTTTTTGAATTTGAACATTCATTTTCAAATCGCATTCTTCTTCAGCTCTAAATGAAAGTTCTGAGAACCGAAAATACACAAAGAAAGTACTTACGCTTTGATGGCATGTGTCAGAAAGTTAAAGTCATGTAGAACTAGGAACTCTTTGAGATCATTGGTTAGCTTGAGAAGTTCATCACATGCACGAGCCTGTTGTTTATAGCAGATTCATTATGAGACTTTAACAAATTGCTTACAATTAGAGCTGCTCTCACACTCATTTCGTTTTTCACAACATAGAACTCTGTCATTTTATTGCCTGGAAGCTTATTAGCCTGCTCATCAACATTAATCTGAACTGTAGCTTTCAAAGAAACCTTCATGCTATATGATCACCTTAGTATTCTGAATAATTTGGTTGAAATTGTCACTCAACGATCGTATATTATCTTTTAATCTTCTTTTGTATTCGTCAATGATGAGTTTCTTAGTTGCTACAGTCCTACTGCTGCTTTTTTTACCAGTTTGAACAGAGATTCCTGACATTCTGGAAACACTCCATATTAAGCAAAGGTATGTTCGAAGTAAGTTTGTTCTGAGGAAAACATAAAAGCTTGGATAGAAGGCGGATGAAGGAGAACATCCGTGAAGAATACGACTTTTCACGTACAAAGCAAAAAATAAATTTTTACGTACAGAGCTCGAAGCTAAAACTTATCTTGTTTCTGTAAATCTTAGCTTCTTCTTATTTTCACATTGAAGGTAAACAAGTTGTTTGTGTTAGAATTTGGAAAAGCTCTTGGATGCTTCTAAACGGTTCCATTCCTTGTTCTGCGACAAAATGGGCAGTGTAGATGTTGTGAGTGTGAGATCGAAGTATGATTAGTTTTTCATTCTTTACCATTTCTTATTTTTATCAGATTCTTCCGAACGGTGTATGCTCAACATGTTGTTGCTCCAATCGATAATGAGTTTCCTAATAATAATCAGGAAGGAACAACAAACGCAGGTTGTCTTTTCACTACGTTGTTTCTAATCAACTCGTTTTATCATAGAAAGTAAAAAGCCAATAGAAGTTGATCCTAAAGAATTGAGTAGTCATGTGAAGCACGTAACTCCATTGCTCAAATCGGCTACGAAAAGTACTCCCCTTATTCAAGTAATATAACAATTTGAATATGATAAACATGGCTCTATTAAGGCCTCAATCCCAAAAGAAACTGCTATCGCTACTCATTCAGCCCTTCTCCAAGGATTATCCAATGAGAAACAGAAAAGGTTTAACTGCATTGCAAATTTGATTTCATATATTTCTTTTTGTAGAATCAAAGAGCTTTATGATAGGCTTGACATGGATCACGATGGGATGATCGATATCAGGGATTTGACAACAGCCTTGAAAAGAGAAACCCCTCATATTCCTTCTAAACTAGCTCCGGTAAAACATATGTTTTTATTATTCATAAAATGTTCTTTCTGCAGCAACTTATGCAGCGTATCAGTTCGGTTGACAATCAAGAGAAGGTTGGGTTCAGCGAGTTCTTGAAGTATGTAGTTGAGCATGAAATGAGATTAGAACGAATTTTCGAAGATTTAGATCAAAACAGAGATGGTAGTGTTTTTAACATGATTCTTGTTTGAATTTATCTTTTTCAAGGTTATATTGATGTTCGAGAGATCAAGCAGTATTGTAGCAACTTAGGTATTCCAATGGATGACAGGAAAGCTCAAATTATAGTTGAACAGTATGTTCAGCTGAAACTCCCCTGCTTGATCAATTGTTTAGAATGGATAAAACTGGCTCAGAATCTATAAACTTGTCAGAATTTCAACAATTTCTTTTACTATACCCAAGTCATGACCTGAAGGATATTGTCGACTTTTGGCGACACAATCTAGTAAGCCTTCGTGTTCCTTCAATGAGTATAATGTAATCAATACCAATAGGTTATTGATATTGGAGAAGACGGTTTAGTCCCAGAAGATTTCACGCAGCAGGAAATTCAATCAGGTAAGCATTAGAATATTCATTTTTTGCCGTCATTTCATTTTACGTTTTCAAACTCGCACGTGCGGTTGTTCTCTTTCCCTGTTGTTGTTTAATCTCTAACAAACCGTTTTCAGGAGTATGGTGGAGGCATCTAGTTGCCGGAGCTGTAGCAGGATGTATGAGTAGAACATGTACTGCTCCATTCGATAGGTTAAAAGTCTACATGCAGGTGAGCGCAAAGATGTTTTTTTTCACTCATTTATATATATGAAGGTTCATGCTACGAAGCAGAACAAGCTAGGGGTTTGGTCATCACTCAGTCTTCTTCATGCGGAAGGTGGCATTCGATCATTCTGGCGTGGCAATGGTATAAACGTAGTTAAGATTGCTCCGGAGTCTGCAATAAAATTTATGGCTTACGAACAAGTAGGTGTTGATGTTTCTGATGATCAATTTTGTAATGCTTTCAGTGTAAACGACTTATTCAAGAATATACGGGTAAAAGTGATCTTGATATTTTTTCTCGGCTCTGTGCGGGTTCTACAGGTAATAACGGCCATCATTACTCTTGCTACGATCTTTTTCAGCTGGAGCCATATCTCAATCCATCATTTATCCAATGGAAGTGATGAAGACAAGATTAGCTCTTCGACGCACAGGCCAATTAGATAAAGGTGTTTTTCATTTTGCTCATAAAATGTATTCCAAAGAAGGTTTTATGTGTTTTTATAAGGTGAGTGTTCTATCTAGGAAATCTTTCTATATGCGATTATATCTAGGGGTACTTGCCGAATTTACTCGGTATCATACCTTATGCTGGGATAGACTTGGCAATTTATGAAACTTTAAAGAAGCTATACGTCAAACATAACCCAGGTTCGAGTCTTCCTCCCTTCAGAAATCCTTGTATACACGTAACTTCTTAGGATCGGAACCTGGTTCATGGACTGTTCTAGCTTGTGGGTCTGTTAGTTCAACGTGTGGTCAATTAGCTAGTTATCCTTTGGCACTTGTTCGAACAAGGCTGCAGGCCAGATGTGAGCATCCCACTTTTAGCCTCATAAAACAAGTTTTTCAGCAGTATCAGCTGATATCCTCCAACCTGATAATATGATAGGGCAATTTCGTTATATTCTGAAGAATGATGGCTTCATCGGTTTGTACAGAGGACTAGCTCCTAACTTTATGAAGGTTAGTTTTCTTAACACGTTGACACACAAAACGCATTTCCTCAGGTTATCCCAGCTGTTAGTATCAGTTATGTTGTTTATGAAAAAGCAAGAAAGTATCTTGGTGCAACTATGTCTTGAGCTTTCTTAGCGTGCAATTCCCCATAGTACGAATCTTCCATTGCCTTTTCCTTCATGCGTGAGATATGGGTAGTTTGCTCCGGTTCTTAGAAAGATTGTGATCATAGTTGTAATGTATTTATTGCTCAGCCTAATTATATAATCTGTATGTTTGTTATTCTCTTTTGTTGAATGTCATCTTAGATCTGGTCTAATAATTTACTTGCCGCTAATAGGTATATAGGTCCTAAACATCTAATAATCTGCGGTTCTTTCCTCCTCCAAAATAGTCATGTTTTGAATATTCCTGAAACTTGCCAGGTTTCAGGTACGGTTACCGAAACAATTTTCGAAGGTTTGTGCTTTCTTTGACAGATTCTATTTTCGGGAGCTTTCCGTTTTAGTGAAAGACTTTAAAGTGGCCATTGTTGGGTTTAACTCTTTTTTTTCAGTTGTATAGTTTGAGGATATAAAATTATTTACAATTGCTTTGATCTGTCTGAAGTTAAGAAGCAAGAAAGATACACACTATGTCAATCTGCTCTCTGACCCATGGTAGCAAAGAAAAGAAAGAAGTGTCGAAAAAAATCAAATGAGTGTCGATTTTGTGTGTGATAGTGTAGAAGATCTACAAGAAGAGCAATTTTGGGTGAATTAAAACATTCCGAAAAACTCGTATTGGAATTTACGAAATAATGAATGAGAGAACAAAATGCCGTTGACACACTCAGATTCCACTATTCAACAACGATCCAATAGGCATTTCAAACAGTGCCCTTATCTAATTGACCTTGTCCTACCTTTCAATTCTTGTCCTGTTTGTGTACTATTTCCAAGCCGTGTTGTTAGCCTTCAAAATGAACTTATTCTCCTGGAAAAGCATCAATGAAGACGTAAACTGCTAGATTAAGCTTTGCGTTTCTCTTTTTTAATTCCCTTTCGTTGAGATTGTTCTGAAAGTTCCGCTCTTCGTTTGTCCTTTTATACATTCCTTGTTCTTTCATTGCCATATTAGATGCGACAACCTTTTTTCCAACCTTTCATATACTTTCACATTTTTCATCGCACTTATCATCATTTATAATTATTCAATTCCATTCTTCTGAATAAGTTTCAGCTGTTCTCAGACAGTTGAACCTGCTAATGGCCAGACGAAACGACGGACATAGGAGGTGAGGTTAATTAAGAAAGGAACGTTAATAACAACCGTCTAACTCGCTGCGCTATTTATAAATGACAAAATAGTTCTCGTGTACGTGTTCACGTATGGAAACACGTGATCAGATTGCCGTATGCTAATTAATTGATCGAATTACAGTTGGAAGAGACAAACTAAACACTGTTGTGCGATATGTTCCGATAAAGCAAGTGGTAAACATTATGGGGTTTACAGGTAGGTGTTCATATATTATATCATATGATTTGAACATCAAACTACAGTTGTGAGGGTTGTAAAGGCTTCTTCAAACGTACAATCAGAAAAGACATGAAGTACAAATGCAAAGAGACAAGGTAGGCCACTTTTCTGAAGGCGATTCGTTTTATTAACCGAGCTCTAATCATGGAATGTTAAGTAATTGTCTGATAGACAAACGTCATCGGAATCGTTGTCAATCGTGTCGTTTTGAGAAATGTATGAAGATGGGTATGAGGAAAGAAGGTATGAGAAGGTTCTAAACTACAATTTACTCTAAATCTTCAGCTGTTCAAGAAGAGCGAAACGCTACACCTCCCACGGTAGCTGAGGTGATAACAGTGCCTATGCCACCAATAATTGATACTAAAGCATCTACATCCAAATGTCAGGAATATGAAGTAAGTGACATGTACATAATACATTCATGTATCATTTTACATAGGATTTGAAACCAGAAGAAAGCATCAGCATAGGTGAATTGCCTGGGAGTTATCATAGACAGAGACTAATGGATTTCGCTTTTCAAATTCCTGCATTTCAACAATTACCAAACAAGGACCAATCCGTTCTTATCTATAATGGTAATAAACAGTTTATAGTTGAGTAATGTTTTTATTTGAACTATTATCTAGCTTACTGCGAGCTTATCATTTGTGATCTTGCTCTCGATCTGTATTTCGATGCTGATCAATGTTTCCCAAGTAGGTATTCATCTGGTTTCTATAGGTATCAAACAACATTCTCTTTATAATTTGTGATCTGCCTACAGAAAGTTGTGCGTGTTTGTGGATAAACTGGGAGACTTATCAATCGATAAGATGATGATGGGAGCAATAAAACTTATTTTCTTACTTGATCATGGTTAGTTGAATAGCCAATGACTTGTAATGATAACTACTTTTGACTCAGAAGCTCCCAATATAAAACAGCACCATATTGTTGAGGAAAAACGAGAAAAGGTCTACAACTGCTTGCTCGATCACTGTTTAACCGAAAGCCCGAAAGATCCAGGATTGTTCACGCAACTTCTCTTGAGGATATCAACCATCCGATCAATGGCTAGTGAACATGAAGATGATATATATAAGTTCTGTGGCAAACCCATGATTGAAGTAACTTATAAGCAAGCTAATCAACTTTAATGATTCCTTTAGGACTTCCTAATAAGCTGCAACAACTTGTACGAGGATCAATTATGATTTCAGAATCTTTACTCATCTAGTCAGTACTCAACAGGCTTTGAAAGCAAATAAAAATGTTTTGAACACACAAATGTTTGATAGAATGCGGAATATTATGGAGAACAGTGGAATAGCTTCGTTAGCTAGAGATCTAGAGTTTACTCTTCAGTTGGTTGGACAGCCGTTCTGTCCTTAGAGCTAACTGGAGGTACATTCCTGGTCTATACGTCGTCTGAGGAGTATCAGCTTGATAATCATTGCTTCTGGTAGTTAACGATCGGACTGAAAAGGAAGAAAATGAGAAGAAAAAAGGCTGACAGCAAGACTTACCATTGAAGAACGGCCCGATATCATCAGACTCCAACTCTTGAGGATAGGAAAGTCTTCCGTTGAGTTTAGTATTGGAATCCATTGTTTAGTATAGTATGTAGAAAGTAAGACTGAAAACAGAGTTTCGTTTTCGTGTATTTTGGTTTCTCCTGGCGTCGGAGACCTTATATATGCCGCATTAGGGTGAGATAGGAAGCTGATAAAAATACATTTTGAAGAAGTAAAAAAGAACGAATGATTCATTTATCACGTCATGTGGCGATAATTTCAAAGGGTAAAAGTCCAACATATATTGTCATAGAGACTTGAATTGACAAGAAAATTGTACGTAAAAGGAGGAAAAGACTACTTGAAAACTGCAAGTGAAGGCGAATGAACGAAACAACAGTGAGATGATGTCAATGAAGAAAGTCAAGTTCAGTGTTGTTTTCTATAAGTGTCAGACAAGTAAACAAGCATCAGACAAGAAATTTATCTATATATATATATATATATATATATATATATATATATATATATAGCTATATGTGTATATACT